CATACAATGTATATGAGGTTTGGCATTGTGAAGATATATGTTACATGGAACATACATCAAGTTTAATTTAGAAGGTATCATGAGAGTTTTCAGAGAATATTAAACATTATTATAGTTACAATTATGCAGTTTCTAAGAGATACTACTAAAACTCCACCCAATACCTGCAGCTTTTTGAGAGATTGTCTCTAATAATGGTGCCTGCAGGGTAGCACAATTAATGGATAGCACATTCATTATCCGAGTTCAATCCCTTTGATCAGTGTGTGGACATTATATGTTATGACACATGTAAAGGAATTAAAAATATAATTGGGTGAGAGAATTAATGTCATGTCAAAATACATGTACATATTTTGGATTCATAATTTCCCCTTTCTTTCCTTTTCACTTTCTAACGTTTCTTCCGAGTTGTGATTCCCGTGAAATTTCTAAGTTTCCATCCTCTCTCAATCTTTTTGAAATTTCAGTATTTATCCCTCATCATTACAGATCATTGTCAAAGACAATTTGGTTGAGTTTTAAGGCCCTCAAACTTCCTTGCTTACATGCCCTTCGAGTTCTCTCTCTCTCTCTCTCTCTTTAAAACTTCTGGATCTACTCCTTGATCTTCACTGGTTCATAACTTCATACATATAGGCTAGTATATGTATTACATTAAGAATTCTTAGAGATAATTTGTTTTATATGGAGTAATTCAATGCAAGTTCTTTCTGTGAAACTATAAATAAAATTACTATCAATTAAGTTTCTGAGTAATAAGACATGTTTTATATATTAGATGTCACATGACTTGGGACATTTTTGCTTTTGTTAAGAACATGTATAAAGAGTAAGGGTCATGAAAACCATAACCTTGTCATCATTTGTTGTATGAATTTCATACATGATTAATGAATAAAATGCATAGAATTATGACAAAACTTTTAAATGTCCAACTCTTAGAATTATTAATTTGTTACTGTCCGTGACACAAGGCTGAACCTTAATTTGTGTCTGCCTCTATAATGAAGTAAAAACACAGGTTTGATCTTCGTAAGAGAAAAAAAAAAGAATAATATTGAAAATTTAAAAATTATATACTCTGATATATTTGATAATTTAGAAAAAGTTTTCTGTAGTATAAAAAAAATTACAGACTGCAACTCACTTTTTGGTAAAAATTTTGAGATATAAAAAATATCTTAACTAGATTGCATGCAGTACATGTTAATGATGTTTCCATCAGGATTGTAATTAAAATGCATGGCTGTTCTTCAAGTTCTTTTTAAGATAAAAAAATTAAACATAGCTGGCACTAAAGGTATGACATAAAGCATTAGTGACTAATTAATTTATTTAAAAAAAAAATGAATTAAAAGTAATTTAGAATACATGTGCACAGGTACTTGGGTCTAGATTTATAAATATGTATGATGTATGGTATCTATTGAAGTGTACTTTTTTACATATCAGCACCTAGGTACATTATACATATATATATATTTTTGGCTTATTTAGCGAAGACCCACACAACTGTGTACATGTGCATGCTTCTTAAAAATTATACCTCCCTTTAAAAGTTAGTTTCAATATTCATTTTTTTAAACGTGTTAATGATGCAACTATTAACTGGTACATATAATATATAGGCTGACTAACCTGTATTAAGTTGAAATGCCTATGAGTATAACATTTTATATATATGATTGAATGTTTTAAGTGCATAATCTGTAATCTCTAAATAATGAAACTGAAACATATAAGGCAAGATAAATTTTTGAGGTGATACTTTTGTACCCTAGTACCATGATAGAGGTATTAACTAAGCTGAAAAGCCAGAGACACTGTGATGTTCATGTCGCAAGTAACAGAAGTAACGCACTTCAAAATATACATACTTTTCTCCAAATTGGTCCACAGCCTGGACAAAAAAATATCTGGCGGGTAACGATAACCGGGCTTTAAGCCCGAGTCCCCAGACGATAGTCTTATCAAGGGATAGAGTCCTCGATCCCGACTGTTCGGCTCCTTGTGCAGACGATCTTTCAACCACGAGCATCAAAAACGAAAGCACAAAGTAAAAGCCCTTTGCACTTGTACACATGTTCAACTAATGGTAAGATGCAAAAATTTTCACTTGGTTATATATTAAGGAATTTCAAACTCTCAGAGATACACCTCATTCATTCCGTCTCAAATGTCAACAACGCTGTGTGTCAACATGTGGTGCGTACGATTGTCAACTTCCGTTGGCTGTTCCGAGATCACGCCCTATGAAATTAGCACCATGTACGTGAAATATGACACTCGGACGAAAACGGTTATGTGTGTAAAAATAGCCCTTCTCCCGAACAACATAATTATTATGCACAGGTACTTGGGTCTTGGTTTATAAATACGTATATACCTTATATTGATATGTAAAAAAAGTACTTTTTTACATATCAATAAGGTACATATATTATGCATATAAACGGAATTTATTTTTAAAAACAAATACTTGACATGCCGCAGAGTAAGAAACTAAATTTCCAAAGTAATAATAATTAAATTACAATAAAGACAATAAAGAATACAGCAAAATTAACCACAACCCCCCAAAAGACAAAATCTCTTACAATAAAAATATTATAACCGGTAGAAATACACAAGTCGGTACTTCGTTTAATAATTTATTAACGGTCCAAAACTTGGTGTTTCTACTCGATCTGTGTGTCGGCGTGGACAGTACAATGTCCAGTTTCCAACTGACGATCATGTATGAAATAGCCAATTTATAACAATGATGAAATAAACAATTAAATTGAAGAGTTACTCTAAGCAGATGGACATAATTGACATAATTAAATTAATTGAATAATAATTAACAAGTTCACTCAGGCACAGGTGGCATCAAATGTCTTGCGGTCACGGTCTTTAATTATGTTTTACTTAGCACTATCAAAGAATATAATTGTGACTCAAAATCTGCTCATTTCACACGGTCACAATATGTTTAGAAAGTGAAAAATACATGTCGGCCTAATTCTTTGTTTTTCAGTTATGAAATTCAAAATTAAACATTTAAAATCAGAGACATAAATAACATAATGTTAATTATGTCTCTATTTAAAATCCTATAGAAAAGATTGAAAATTCATTAAATTGAAGTACTTTTCCATATCAAAATATTTCCTAATCTCATCATTCAAGTGCATTGAAAAAAAGGTCAAATGATACTTCTGCCCCTGCTATTGCATATAGTACGTGCAGGGACGTGGATGTTGACCAAAGCAACCCTGCAGAAGATCCAGACATTTTATAACACATGTCTCAGGTGCATCTTCAACATGTCATGGTCTGAAAGGATTTTAAACGAAGAATTATGGAAGCAGAGGGACAGGAATTTAACGCAGTGGCGAAGCATCGTTTTTGAAAGTGGGGGGGGGGCAGCCAGAGAAATTTTTTTTTACCTACCTGAAAAAGTTGACAAGCAAAAAGAAAAAAAGGGGGGGGGGAGTTGCCCAAAGTCGAAAATCCTATTTCGGGGGGGGGGTAAACTTTTTCTCAGTGTCAACTACTTCCAGTACCAATTCTAATACTACATTTTCGGTACATCAGTGGGGGGCCAACCAGGCTTTCATTTAACATTTCCTATAGTATAAGTAAGGTTGGGAAAAAAAGTGGGGGGGGGCAGCCCCCCTGGCCCCCCCTGTTGCTACGCCCCTGTAACGAATGGACGTATAAATTAGACAGAGAAAGTGGGACTGCCATGGATTGGACACACGGTAAGGAACTCACAATCCAGCATCATACGCCAGACCCTGACTTGGAACTCACATGGCAAAAGAAATGAGAGGACGCCCAAGAAACGCCTACATGTAGCTGGAGGCGTAATTCCCACTCAGAACTAAAGACACAGGACATGGCATGGTACATGTATATGATGCAGCAAAAGCAGTCTGGAATCGAGTTCGTTGGAAACTGTCGTCGATGACCTTTATTCCTCAAAGAACGATTGACCTAAGTAAGTAAGTATATAAATGATACTCCTAACCCCTTGAAATTTAAAAATAAAAGAGAAAAAAACCTAGTTGACTATCGTAAATGGAATTCCATAAAAAAATATAAACAAATAAATTAATTATTTTATTAATTTAAAAAAAAATCAAAATTAAGTTAGAATAAGTGAGAAAGATAAACGTCGCAAATTAAACCCCAAAAATTCTTTGAAATCAAAATTCTTATTCAAGCTTTTTTGGACGTTATTCAAAAATAAAATATACTTATTCGTAATCACAGGCTCCTGACGTTACTTATTTTCCTTTTGATAATAATAATAAAAAATAACGTTACCCTACCTAATGATGAACATGTATTATTAGGTAGGTTTTTTTTATTAAAAGACACACATGTATTATAAAGTAGGAGTATATATTTTTTATTAAAAGAAAAATAAGTAACATCAGGTGCTTGTTTTGTAATGTATTTGTCTCTCGATAAGAAAAAAAGCGCGATTTATGCATGGATATCAATAGACATTTCTCAAGGATTTTCGACGTCTCTCTTTCAATTTGATACTCATGAAGAAGCATATACGGGCCCATATTAGCACACGGTTTCAAAAATGTGTGGGAGGTGGGGGGTCAAAGAAAATCCATCCTCGCTATGCCAGGGTCCTGAGTCAACATATTTCCGTTGGAGGATTTTAACTTTGAAAAAAAATATAGATTTTAAAACAATTTGAAGTTCTTCATTTAAATCCAGTTAAAATATTCATGATCCCTGGATGTTTTTTTTACGCTTTAAATCTGGTTGATCACGTCAAATATAAATAACAATTTATGTCTCTGATCATTTTACTGTCTACTAATTTTAATTATGTCTAAACATTAATGAAATTACCAAAGGTAGAGGTTAGGCGTAAAACAAAAACCCGTATTTTTAAGTGTTTGATTTAATTATTTTTACATCGAGTTCTAAATTATACGAGGGAGTGAAAACATACAAAAGAACAGCTCCGCGAGAACATGCGCAAACATCGTTCTTTCTCGCAATTTACCGTCGAAGACGCCATTATCGTTCTCCGAGACAGGGGCCGAGATTTGGGCAATAGTTCGAGTTTTGCAGCGCCAAACATCACCAACACGTGTTTGAAGGTATTTCTTTCTATCAGGCACGCGTATGAATGAAAAAAGTCATGGAAAATGGTCACATGTACACAGTAAGTAAAAGGTCACTATCGGTCGAATTGTAAATACTTTTTCAATAACAAGTTTCGCATCACTGTCAAAACAACATCGTCTGCTACAGATACGCAAAGCTATTTCGAATTTCCTCGAAGAATCACATATGGGACAGTATCATATTTTCGAAAGTTTTGCAAATTTGAGCAGCTATAAAACAGCCATAAAACATAGTTAGGAAAAGGTCTGTATTCACTTTAAAAAATAGATAGCTAAATATCTAGGCCCAAAGTGTGGTACTTTTTTAACAGTGAAGAGAGAAATGGGGACTTTGTTGAAACAACACAGTACACAATTTATTCATTTAGAAAATGACTATATCTTAACTCTTAAATGTACACATTTTTAAATATTCTGATCACAATTTATTTAATTTTGTACCATTGATTACCAAAAGCTCCAGAGAAATGAAATAGACTTGAGATTGATATTTATATCATATGTTGCTCATGGAATATTGGCAATGTTATATTTTATATTTCATTTTTTTTCAGTCCTTTATTGATTTGATATTATATTTCCAGTTTATATTTATAGGTAATGAGTCATATTTTTTTTTCCATGAGTAGGAGAATGACAACAGAAGAGAACAGCAGTGATGGATTGACTTCTGTGTCCACAGCACCACTGGTAGTAGAACACATGCCACTCACCATTAGCCAGCTAACAGACAATTCTCAGCCTGAGGGGGTCATGGCTTCAGATAGTGTTCTCACCATTGCAGTGGATACAAATAATTCTGTACTTCAGGAATCATTCTCAGGTAGAAAATCCATGTTTGTACATATAAAGTCATAGAATTTATTGAAGTTTAGGACATATTTAACAAACCTAGCATCTGTCAGACATTTATATATAGCATCTAATTTTCAGACAATTAGGTTTTTATATAAAAGTAGCTTAAAAAAAAGAGGGTCCTCCACACATAATTTTCTCATATTATTGAGCATTACTTTTAGCATTCAACCTTTAAAAAAGTTAAAATGTAATTTAACATAAAATAATTATTTCACAAGTTTCTAAAATTTTTCCCAAGGCGTTTTCATACCTAACACAAAAAACTTTGTCTTAAACATTGCTCTCGATTTTTAAACTATTTTTTGTCTATTTTCTATTTAGTTTATTCAACACAAAAATATGCATATTCGGTAGCATCTGTTTATTGCCACTGATAACAGGTAATCAACAAGGTGTCAACTGTGCTAGCAGATGTAATTGCAGTTGTAATTGCTCCTTATTTTCATTAAAAGTGTATATTATAGAGATGCCAGATGTGGAAATTTTTACAGAACTGATACTTTGCTGCAAATAAGTTTAGAAGTGCCTAAGACAAAACTATTACTCCATAAACAATACAGTGATCAGGAAAGGTGTGGCTACAGTACTCTATAATTAATTTAACAAGGAGAGGGAAACAATTTCATGGAAGCTAACATAAATGTTCAGAGTCAGCTGAAGATTTTTCAATGACTTAGTAAATCCTGCATCAACATCAGCATATAACAGCCCCCTTTAAATTTACAAAGCTAAACAGGGTATGCATTTCTAAATTAAAATATAAAATAAACACATTAGAACATTACTTAAATAAAGTATTATATTTAAACATTTTGATATATTTTATGAGATTAAAAGAAAAAAAAAAACAGGGTATTTCATTCATACTATATTACATATTATTTTAAAAATATAAGCATGAAGTTTTGACATTTATTTCAATTTCAGATCTTTAAGTCAAGGATACAACTCATGTCCCTTAGACTTAGTGAGAAAAATCCATTCATCCATCTATTAAAAGCTTGAAACTCAGACTGTCTGCAGAACTTTATTAATTTTTCTAATTGCCAAGTTAAACTACAACATTTGCCATGAATATTATTTAAATGATGCTCTTATGGACTGGCAGAATAGATAGTGAACATAAAATTTTATAATTTCAAAATTAATTCACATTATAGTACAAGTTTCTAAACAATGTATGAATAAACAGTAAATTTTATGAATTAATGATGGTGTTAATATTAATAATAAAGTTTTATCTTGTTGTTTATTTTTGTTCTATCAAAATCTGCTGGTATCTGGCCAAAATTCTTTTGTATATTTTTTCTTCACAAGATCAACACCAATTTTAAAATTTACCAGGGAATTAAAATTAAATGCCTAGAAAAAGCATTTTCAAAAGACAGGTGTCTCTCACGGTAATATAACTCTGTTAGCACACTATTTTATCAATATTTATAAACACACATATTGATGCAGTTTGGAATCATTGGATACACTTAACCTTTGATTTTTTTTGTCTCTGAATTAGTAATATCTTTTTATACTCAAAGGCCACTGGGTATTTTATTGGAATATTTATTTCTTGATGTTATTTTGATGTATATGTATTTTGTAGGCAGTGATCAGGACACTAAAGAAGAACCTCCCAGCAAGAGGACAAGATATGACACAGGGAATGGAGAGTTATCACAGGACCAGTCTATCAAGGTATCAGTGGAAAAAAATTACAGAGCATGGGATAAGTGAATTGACAATACACATGGATATGTTATTTATGTTTTTTAATTTAATGTTAATGATTAATTTTGTGTACTTTCAGAGTCTCTTGTTTACAATAAACAAAGCCATCTGCATGCGGTTGGATGGGATCGAGAACAGTATAGAAATTCTGAATGGTCGAACTAAGTTTCTGGAGGAAAAATTAGAGGAATTGATTGGCCATGTAAAGGAGAATTCTACCACAGACCACAGTACCACGCAAACAACTCCAAGTGTTGGATCTATAGTACAAGCACAAACCAAGGGGTAATGATATAACAAACTGATTAAGGAGTAATGATACAATAACTATTTGAAATGTATCAGTAAATGCAGAGACATCCATTATATGTTTCTGGTAAATGATATAGAAATAAGATAGTATTCAGCTCAGATTCATTTTGAATGAATGTGCATATAGATGTTCAATGTAGGGACCATGCCTCAAGATCATAAACTGAGAACAGACTTGGTTCACAATATTTTTAATTTTCATATCTTGAATTTTATTCAAAGAAATTGCTTTAAAATTTGCAATTTTATACAAAGCAACAATTCAAACATATAATATAAATTTGGTTTCATTATCAAAATTACTGAAAAAGTTTACATTGGTTTGAAATTTTGACCTAAGTTTGTTCTCAGTATATGATCTTGGGCCCAGGGCAGGTTTATCATGTACTCTGGATAATGTGAATTGATATAATGAGACTATATAAGTCAAATAATTTTACATACATGATAAATATGAAGACTTTTAAAGATCCTTTTTGAATTTCATTTCAGATTCTAAAATATAAATATTAGGGATGTGCGATTTTATCGGTATACCGGTATATCGCGATTTTTTGCTCTACTGGTCAGAGACCAGAAGAGCTTATGCGATAGTAATGCGTAAAGTCGAAATCCGTCCGTTTTTTTGTCTTCTGTCAAATTATACGTCTGTCTGTAAACAATTTTTCAAAATGCTACTCCTCCTACAATTTTAGTCTGATTTCAATATTACTTGGCACACAAGTAGACTACACTAAGATACATAGAATAATGCATCGGTTTTTGATTTCGGTGATCGGTGTTGCCATGGTTACTAAAAATAGAATTCTCTGTGAAATTCCTTTAAAACACTACTCCTTCCACAGTTTTGGTCTGATTTCAATATAACTTGGCACACAAGTAGACTACTTTAAGATATGTAGAATAGGGCATCGGTTTTTGATTTCGGTGAAAGGTGTTGCCATGGTTACTAAAAATAGAATTTTCTGTGAAATTCCTTTAAAACGCTACCCCTTCTACAGTTTTGGTCTGATTTCAATATAACTTGGCACACAAGTAGACTACACTAAGATACATAGAATAGTGCATCGGTTTTTGATTTCGATGAACGGTGTTGCCATGGTTACTAAAAATAGAATTTTCTGTGAAATTCCTTTAAAACGCTACTCCTTCTACAATTTTAGTCTGATTTCAATATAACTTGGCACACAAGTAGACTACACTAAGATACATAGAAAAGTGCATTGGTTTTTGATTTCGATGAACGGTGTTGCCATGGTTACTAAAAATAGAATTTTCTGTGAAATTCCTTTAAAACGCTACTCCTTCTACAGTTTTGGTCTGATTTCAATATAACTTGGCACACAAGTAGACTACACTAAGATACATAGAATAGTGCATCGGTTTTTGATTTCGATGAACGGTGTTGCCATGGTTACTAAAAGTAGAATTTTCTGTAAATTCCTTTATTTGTGAAAAGCTATTTTCCTTCTACAGTTTTGGTCTGATTTCAATATAACTTGGCACACAAGTAGACTACAAGGATACATAGAATAGTGCATCGGTTTTTGATTTCGATGAACGGTGTTGCCATGGTTACTAAAAATAGAATTTTCTGTGAAATTCCTTTAAAACGCTAAAAATACAGTTTTGGTCTGATTTATATAACCTGGCACACAAGTAGACTACACTAAGATGCATAGAATAGTGCATTTGTTTTTTTGTTGCCATGGTTACTAAAAATAGAATTTCCTGTGAAATTCCTTTAAAACGCTACTCCTTCTACAGTTTTAGTTTGATTTCAAAATAAGTTGGCACACAAGTAGACTACACAGAGATACATAAAACAGTGCAATGGTTTTTGATAAGTACAAACCAGTAGAGCTACAGTCTCGACAGAGACTTCTGGTTTGTTGTGTGATACGTATCGTGATACGGAGACATAAATACCGGTCTTTAGGTACATACTATAAAGTCCAGAAATTATTCATTTTTTCGTTCAATCTTTCAAATTACAATTACAGAAAGTATAAAAAATGTTGTAAAAAGTGAAAAGAACGGCATCTTACCGTCCAAACATAATTGATTTTATATACATAAAAATTTCAAGAAAGTAAAATTTTGTTTTTCTAGCATATTTTTTAGAAAAATAATGACTTTTCATATAAAATCATTGTAAAAACTGCTTTTAAAAATATCATGATATTATTGTGATATTGTGGGGGAAAAATCGTGATATATCGCAGTACGAAATTTTTGGCGATACCCATCCCTAATAAATATAGGGAAAAGTAATTTTTTTAAAGAATTTCTTTCATACAATAAAATGTTGGTTTTTTTTTTTATTTTGTATATTCCAAACTATGATTTTCTTTTCTTTCTCAGAGGCATTTAGAATTTGAGTTACAGACACTCTTTATTTTGTTTGAAAAAGGGAATTAAAATATTTTGCATTGTGCTTTAATGGTAGATAACTCTTGTGTCTCTCTTTCAGTGCTGTCTTGGTAGGACTTTCACAAGGAGGAAAAGTAGAATCACAGAGTAAGCTGTATTTTAGAAAAATAACCATAAGGACTTTATAAATGTCTTTGTATGCAGTGCAGTTTAAAGCTTTTTTTAGCAGAATTGAGGATAAAGAATTTAAGTCTTTTGTTTCATTTTCCTTCAGATCCAATGAATGGAATGGGAGGAGTAGAGAGTCTACAGAACATGGGACTTGGGCCCAATGTGACACTTATCACACTTAACTCAGAAGGTTAGATCTAAGAGACGGATATCTGAATTTATTATCAAAGAAAACGGAGTCATTATTTTAATATATCAACTCATTTTACCATCAGAAATCATACATATTTACAGAGGATTTTCCTCATGGTACCTGGCTTGGAGACGAGACAAATCCTGAAATGAGGGTGAGAGTTCCTATTACTCCAAGGTAATCATGGCTAGCATTTCTTCTTTCCCTTTGTCAGTAGCTGCAGATCTGTAGCTCACTGGTCTGAAAAATTGGTTAGTAACTCATAAACATGACAGAGATATAAATTTTATTCTATCTCATTGTCTTGTTTGAATTTGAATGCATAGAATTATAGTTTTTTGTTACTGTAAATCACTTTTTATTTGTGAATACTTTATTTTCTCTGAATTACGCAAGACCATCATCGGGGGAAAATTTCATTCTCACATATAACTTGAAATAAGTCTACTGACAAAGATTAAAGAGCAAAAACAACGATCTCAAGAAAATAAAGTGTCACAGACAAAGTTGTAGTGATCTACAGTATCCACCCCAATTTTCCCAGGCTAGGCTACAGATCTCTAGCTGCAGAACTGTAGCTCTCCGAAAAGAATATATTGACAGACCGTAGCTGTTGCCTTTTAATATCTTCTTTAACAAGCAATAAAAATATTTTGAAATTCTATAAAAGAAGGAACAGAATTCAAGATCGGGAAGTGTTAAGGACCCTCTATACACAAGTGCAATTTTTTTTTTTGGACATTAAGAAAAATATATTGTATAAAGGCGTTAATATTGAGCTTATTTATGTAATTTTCACTGTATGGTGCGTGGGATTTATCCCCGAGAAAAATGTTCAAAGACAACACAGTATCAGTGAATAGAAATCACTGTTAATTACTTCAGGAGAGAAAATACATGTAAATAACACGTTCAGTTAATTTATCTTGGCCTGTTAAAATGTCAAGAATACTTGAATTAATTACAAATTGGGTAATATAAAGTAAATTTATTTTTTTTAAAATTTAAATAAAAGGGCAGATTCACTCTAACTGCATATTGAAAAAACCTTGGAAAAAAAATATATAGAACTCTTTAGTGTGCAGTGTAGAGAGGGTTCTTAATGGTTTAGTGAATTGTTACATTTTGTTTTACTAGTTTTGTAAATTTTGTAGTGATTTGCTGCATATTCACTCCAATTGTCGAACACCAGAGAAAATGGCACTCACAATGTTGGATTATTTATTTGATCGTGAAACTCAGGCTACATCAAACCTTTCAGGAATGGGGAAGTATGGCAAGAAGCAGCTAGACCCATTAATGATCTATGGCATCAGGTGTAAGTTAAGAATGAAATCTGTTAATATTTACATCTATATAAAATTTAATTTCTAAAAACATTCATAAAATTGTTATTAAATGTTGAGAAATTATATAAATGTTTTGTTATATATTTGCAGGCCATTTAATCCACAGATTTAACATAACAGAAAGTGACTGGCACAGAATCAAACAAAATGTTGACTCTAAATGTCGGACAGCATTCAGAAGGAAACAGCGAGGAATGCCCTTAACAGTGAAAGCATTTCGTGGGAAAGCCACACCTACATATGTTCAGATGAACCCAGCAGATAATTCCCTAAGTGATGAAGATTCCATGCAGGACTCAGAACTACACATCAATGCAAGTTCTCCACTCCACTGCTTGTTGATGTCTCATATCTTTATGAAATTAATATACTGAAAAAGCAGAAATATTCACTGGAGATTAAATTTTGTTTATTTTGTTGTTAACAGTTATCAGCAAAATTAAATCCAACATGAAATTTTTATATGACTAAATATTGAATAGGGGTACTTTCGAAACAACAAAATTAAATGCCCACAAAACCTCTTTAGATGATACAGTGTACATGTAAATCAGAAAAATTTTATCCTCACAAAAAATTTTACCTGTACAGTATATGTATCATCACTCTTAATGTGATTTCATAAAGGTGTTAGATTAGAAAATAAAAGATGGCCATTGCTACCTGGTTAACTAATTGATCTGTCAGAAATGATAGTAATTGATATTAAAAACGTTAAAGGCTAAATTGGTATAAATTTTTCAAATTCTTATTCATTTTGAAAAATATAATTCTGCTTGTAAACTGTTTGCAGTTCTAGTAATCTGTTTCTTATCTTCCAGAAAATAAATAAGATGCAGCATTGCTTTATTTCATTGAAAATTTCTACTTTTCAGCTGTGCATGAGATTCCCTTTAATTATATATTTCTTACATACTGTTTACAGCATGATCAGGACCTGAAGCACACTGTAGCAGCCATGGCAGGGGATGGACTACCTCCAGGAGAGATACAAATCCTACATGCCACACCTGAACAGATCTCACAGCTACAACAAGCCCACCATATACAGATCTTACAGGGGGATCAGGTCATACAGATGCCTGTTGGGGTACCGGTAAGTAAATAGGACTTCTGTCCAATCAGCATTTAAAACTGTTTTCCAATGCTTTCTTAACCCAAGGAAACCTCCTGTTCAAGAATATAAGATGGAAGGATTTATGTGTAAATTTAATTTTTTAGTTCAAAATGTTGAATTTACAAAAACAATGTTGTAAATTCTTATCCAGACTTAATATAACAATATACTGTTTTATCTCAGCTTTCTCAGGAAGATGCACAGAATATGCAGGTGGCTGTCTCCATGCCTCAGCCCACCAGTGTACAGGTTGCCACAGTAACAGACAGTGGGGAGGTTCTACAAATCCAGCAGTCCTAGCACCCCCTAGCTAAAGTCCCCACCCCCTCAGTATTGTTGATCTTGAGGCACTAGAGATTTAGGGAGTGATTCCAGCAAACCATGTGTTTCTTCTATCTCTTGGTACACACAGTCAGAATAACCAGTTACAGAGTAGGCACGTCTGAGTAAGAAAGGTATAGTCCACCTTTGACTGATAGCAAAGGATACTGCCAAAGCAGAAGCTTGAAAATCTTGTACCAGCTGGACGTGAGATAGAGAGGAATTCTGTGTGGATCATTTCTGTCTTGCCTGTTGTTGTATGATGTACTAATGTTAATACAATGCAATGCACATACATGTATTTGACGTCCCTTTAAAAGAACAGTGATTTTTAGGAAAGTTATGGACAGTGTACATGTATGCTAGAAGTTAATTAAATTAAACATAAAATGAAGCTAAGTTAAAAGATCGGCTATCTGAACATACCACAATGTCAATTTATAGAGATTTTTTCTGTTTACTTTGATATCAATATATAAAAGAGTATTGTTGATTATTTAAAATTTTGTTACTATGGTTAAAAAAAGTTTGTTCTGTGCATTTGTCAAATATACTGTTTATTTTTAGCTGCAAATATACATGTGTATTTGCTACAGTGTATTTTATTCATGGAATCATTCCAGAAAGAAAATAATGTTTTGTGCATAAAAACTACAGAGATCTGTATGTCTTAGAATATACATGGCCTAAAGTCTTTGGCAGAGTATACTATACGTGTACATAATTTGGCGTATTCAAAATTAGCATAAACACTGGGTATGGAGTTGTTGGCATAATCATAAATTAGCGCTACACATGTCCGTTCAGTGTTCAATATATGAAAATGATTTCTTAGCTGTAAAAAGCCAAAGCGGCCAAAATAAGAAGCCCGCTTTTAAAGTACACATACAGTCTCTTTCTCAATTCAATTGGTTTAAAATTTGCAAATATTTGATAATATAAGCAAAATGATATTGGTTCAGGAAATTTTTTTCTATCTTATTCATACCTGAAAGTATTAACGTAAATACCTATAGTGTGTTTCTCATGCTCAGGCAGTGTTTGGATTCCTGCACAGTCTTCAAACTGTATATATCTGTTAAGGCAGTTCAAGTAATTTCCATTTACTCATGAGATCTGAGGTTTTAAGAATTGCAGTTTCCTGAATCACAGAAAGCTTGGCATTTAAGGATAAAAACATTTGATTGCCAGCCAAACCATTGTTTATGCCTGGCATTTGACATAGGCATATTTTTTAGGTTTTCATTATACATTTTGTACGTTTTCAAAGAATTGCTTGAGTTGAAAGGGTAAAAGTACATTATATGTATAAATATGTACATGTAAACAATTTTTCAAAATGCTACTCCTCCTACAATTTTAGTTTGATTTCAATATTGCTCTTGGCACACAAGTCCAGATAACTACATTTTTATACATAGAATGTGCATCGGTTTTTAATTAATGTATGAACGGTGTTAAGGTTATGGTTATTAAAAATACAATTTTCTGTGAAATTCCTTAAAATGCAAAATACTCCAATATATTTTTATGATTTCAAAATAAGTTAGCACACAAGTAGACTAGTAAGATACATAAATAGTTGCATCGGTTTTTGATTTCGATGAATGTTGCCATGGTTACTAAAAATAGAATTTTCTGTGAAATTCCTTTACAAACGCTACTCCTTCTACAGTTTTAGTTTGATTTCAAAATAAGTTGGCACACAAGTAGACTACACAAAGATACATAAAATAGTGCAATGGATTTTGATAAGTACAAACCAGTAGAGCTACAGTCTCGACAGAGACTTCTGGTTTAGGTTTTCATTATACATTTTGTACATTTTCAAAGAATTGCTTGAGTTGAAAGGGTAAAAGTACATTATATGTATAAATATGTACATGTACATTTTTCCAGTATATGTACAATTCTATGAAATAGTGCTCTTTAATACAAAACATTAAATTTTTATACATGTATGTTTGTACTTCGATGTTTAATTAATGTATGTAAATTTAAGGTTATTTATTAAAAATACAACTGTACTTTGCTCAATACAGATTAAAATGTCAAAATACTCCAATATATTTTTATGGTTGAATCCTGTTAAAAAAAAAGGTCTTTAGTATGTAATAAATGTTTTATACATTTGTTTCCTACTTTATAGAATATTTATAGTTTAATGAAATGAAATCCTTAATTACAAAAGAAAAATATAACAAAGGACACAAAGTTTCGATTTAATTTTTTAAGGTAGATTTATGAAATGCAAAGTAAGTTGAATTTTGCCATGAGCAAAGCAACAATTATTCATCTGTTATGCATATGCCCTTTTCCCTTTAGGTTATGGTCTAATCCAAAAGATAACCTTTGACAATACCGTAAAAAATACTTGTGATTTAACAATCATGTTTGGATATAACAGTTTTGATGAAACTGCATGTTTTCATATACATGTATATTTATACATAATGATTATAAATTCAAATTTGAACATTAATATATAATGCAGTGAAAATAAAATTCAGGATTGATCATTATTTACAGAACTAGCATTCTGTGCTAAGAAACTGCATGTATACAGAAAAAGGAAATCTTTTCTCCACTGTGCGAAGGGCCACAATAGCCATATATTGATGTTGAAGCATCTACATGTGGGTACAGAAACCCCATAGAGTAAGGACTGGGTTATAATACGGGTCCTTATTTTTCAAGGGAGTAGGCATATAATTTTATGAAGGGCAACAAATACCACTACTACATAGACATCTTAATTTTCATAGTTGTGTGAAAAAGTCGAAGGCATTAATTACAAAGATCAGATGATTAGAAACGCATGGGATGGTAAACTTTACATCCTGAAATGTAAATGAACAAAACAGCTATAGGAAGAAAAAAAAATGCAGCTTTGACCCCGACGTGATTCGAACACGCAACCTTCTGATCTGGAGTCAGACGCGCTACCGTTGCGCCACGGAGTCGTACTTGATGAGACATGCGTAGTAGTAAAATATATCAATATTTTATGCATTTTCCATAATATTTGTGAAGATTTACTGGAAAAATTGTAATTTTAATACTAATTTAATTCCACGGAAAATACTGGAATTTCTGATTTAACACGCGAAATCGATCGAGTATATCGTCATTTCCGGAAATATCATTATGGCTGACAGACGTAAACAACACGGGGCCAGCTCTCATTCTGACATAGAGGCAGAGTTGGCCCCTTATAAATGTCCTGTATGCCTAGAAATTTTTAGGAACCCAGTCCATATAACCTGTGGCCATAATCATACGTAAGTATTTTATTATTCTAAATCTTTACACCCAAAACTTGCACGAGCTTGCCTTTAGATTCCAGGAATGTTTTCTTTCTCTTTCACAACACAGCTGATTGGTTACTTGATGTTGCGAGTTTCAATGGTGTGTAACGGGAGAGGAGAAAATGCAGCGGATCAGACCGGGATTCGAACCCGGGCCCCCTGAAACTCCGGTCAGGTGCTCTACCAACTGAGCTATCTGGCCAATCGAACCCGAGCTGACCGCCACATTCCTCCCTCCTTAAAGGTCTTTGGCCCTCCAAAGACCCCAACCCAGGCTCATCCCTGGCAGGTCTTTCAGGGGGCCCGGGTTCAAATATGATCCGCTGCATTTTCTCCTCTCCCGTTACATTTATGCCGTGCCATGCCCTGGAAATGACAGGTGAAAGAATAAAGGGATGTAAGCCTGTTGGGGTCTTTGGAGGGCCAATAATCTCTGGAGGGAGGAATAGTAGGCCTATTCATTTCAGATTGCAGCAGTTGTTAGAGCACCTGTAGTTTGGTTCGAATCCCGGTAGAGCGTTTGCTGACTACAGTCGCAGATTAAGGAAATAATTGATTAAATCCTTATGTTGCAATTCGCAAATTCAAATCCCATTATGGGACATGGAGAATGCAGCTTTCTGTTATGAGACTGTATAATTAACCACAGTAGATGCTGGCATGAAAAAAGATTCCCCAATGCTTATAATTAGTGGCTAAAGAAAATTGTAAATGCTGAGCATAAGGTCTATATTGTCAGCTCCTCTTCCAGCTATCCTCGCTATGCCAGGGAGCCCGAGTCAACACGTTGCAGTTGGACCCGTGGCATATATTTCATTTTTGAGCTTGCTTCTCTCACTGAGAGGCACCATCAAAGTAAAACTATCATAAACAGTTAATATCAACAAAGAGGAATCAGTTGACACCTCAGGTGCACATGTTAACTTACAAACTGTTAATCTGAAATAGAATGGCTTAATGTAATTGATTGAGGGATAAGAAAAACAATCAAGATTAAATTTGTTTTTTTTTCGAAAGACGTCGCTTCAGTCAGCCCACAAATACTGAATGATAGATAATTCTGATATCAGCACTAGAAGTACTATATATTGCTAACTATGATTGTATTTTGATGTAGATATTGCTCCGACTGTGTTGCACCCTATCGGTCTCAGCATGAAGCCCAGTGTCCGGAGTGCAGGGGACCCTTTGACCCTCATGACCTGAGGAGAGCCAGTGACCTAGAACATGCCATGAGGAGTGTTACAGTCCCGTGTAGGTGGTGTGGACTCGGGGTAAGTCTTAGAGAGATTTCCTGTAATAAACAACGACTGGTTAAAGTTATCATTGACTATAAACAAATGCAAAGCTAGTGTCATTGTATATGTAGCCAAAAAAATAATTGACATTCTTGAATTCTGATTGATTTAGTTTTAGTTACTGTAGGTGCATGAATATAATTCCCTTATGACTGACTTAATATGTATAAATTGAATTTCAGATTTGAAAGTTGGATGATTTAAATTAGGAAGGAACATTGAATTTGTACTGGGTGTTGCTGAAAATCATCATTAAGTTTTTTAAAGTATAATTTAAATTATCATAATGATTATAAAACCAAAACATTTTAATTTGTATTTTTTTAAAAATACAATTTTTTTTAGATGACAGTACATCGATTGAGATCTCATTTAGCCAAATGCAAACAGAGAGATAGTTCTATTCCTAAATTTAAACCTGTTGCAGAGACTGCACAAAGTTATCCCACGTAAGTCACAGTTGATCAAGTTTCAACACTTGTATAATAGGGTATATCTGTATTATTAATTTGCCAATTGATCTTACAGAGGTGGAATTTTATTTTCTGAGTTGACAAAATTTCTGCAATTGCACTTGCACTACAATTTCAAAGTTACTGGAATGGAACAATTTTGAAATCTATATTTTATTGTATTACATTTTTACAGATCGACAAAAATTTAAAATTGAACAACTGAAGAAATTGGAGTTTATAATTTACACTCTTTAAATGTCAAACCATAAACACAGAAAATGTGAGATACTTTATATCTCTTTCGAGTCAAATTTTTAATTGTTTGAGGAAAAATATATCCTGATTGTTGGGATTAAAATGCTTTTGTGCTTGATAGATAAACATGATAATTGTCTGAAACTTTAGCAACCCATTTCATGAAGGACATGAATAAATGTCTCCTCATATGATAAAAACGATGAAAATAAGTGATTTTACCGACTACTGAGTTTTGTGATTGCCACTGATTTCTTTGTGGCAACTCAATGAAGTTAAACATGTTAAAAGCAAACATTCATGAAAATTGAACTCGTATCAAATTAAAAAAAATAAAAAGTTAAAAAATAAAATTACTACAAAAGATACATGTTTTGATTATTTCATGATCATGATCTTTCTGTATGCTAATGTTTTCTTTTCATTATAAAGAACTTTAATTTGTGTTTAATAGGTTGATAAATGGAATACTGTAGAATTTTTTCCTTCTAAAATCCAGTTTGTTTATTTCAGTAATTTACCAAATAGGTCTACATTTAGTTGTCCAATATGTCACCAGGAAAATTTGGATTGTACTGCCCTTATACAACACTGTAACAAAATCCATGCACAGGAATCGGGAAGTTTTGTAAGTATGGCAGATATATGGCATGATCAGACACCAGGAAGGTACAGATTTTATACAGAGACAGGGAAGTCTTGAATTTAAAGATAGGAAGCCAAAAAATCAGATGTACTTCAGTGTGCATATTTATGGAAAATTTTTTGAACAGTAGTATGATTGCATATTGATACTGACAGACTCTTATGAAGCACAATTTGTTTTTGACTTTAAGGACAGATGATACATGGATGCCTGGATTGGTACATGCGTATATATTTTTTGACCTAATTTCATTGCAAATGATGCAAATAATAAATTTCTAGAAAATAAAGAAATTGTACACCTTCTGTGATCCCTCTGAAACCATCCTTATTATTCTAAACAAATATTTTCACTTCAAATTTCATTTCTGTACAACTTTAAATAAAAATTAAAAACTACATGGTGAAACTTATTCATTAAAACATGACCCTAGTTGTTATTTTTAAAATTTTTGACAAAAGTTTGTATCATCTGTCCATAAATAAATTAATATGACACAAAGTTTATACATTTAATTGAATGTTACAGTGTGAGTATATATAATCACATCAGTATGTGTTTGTTTGTACAGGTATGTCCAGTTTGTGCTTCCATGCCATGGGGAGATCCTAATTACTGTAGTCCTGATATAGTTCATCATCTCAACATGAGGCATAAGTTTGAATATGACACATATGTGGTAAGTATAGTTTAATTGAATATTTAGGTAACCGATCTTGAAAGTGCGAGTGTTTCTGATTTAGGCTTGTTTTGCATCTCTCTGTTCCTCAAGTGTAGCTGTTGGACCATGTATCTGTAAATGTTTCATGCAACTTCTGAAGATGAACTACTGATCATGGTTTTAATCAAATTTGGCACAAAACATCCTTTGGTTAAAAGGATTTTGAATTTATAAAAGGAAGGGTCAAGGTCTTTTCCAAGGAAGACAATTAAAAAAAGGAGTCATTAAAAAGAATTCATCTACATCATAAATGTTCAAATCATTTCTCAGAAGTTTGTGAGGTGCAAAAACTGGAGATCAAACTTTTACATTGAAACTGGAGATAAACTTTTTACCTTTAAAATATATATGAAAAAATCATAAAAATCTTCCCCTCAAGATTCACTGAACCATGAAAAATGAAACTGCTAGTCTTGTAAATACTTCAAACATGTCCCTCTCCCCTACAGAATGTGATGTTCATAATGTAGATTCTAAATTGTTCAATGCTGGCTCCCTTAGTTGGAGTGGGTCTGCAAATAGGGGATCAAAGTTCTACATTATAGTTAATAAACAGGAACTTATGCCCTGTTCACACGACGAGTTTAATTTGCAGTAAATTAATGCGAAGTAAACTAATGCGAATCAAAATAATGCGAATTAAATTGCGTTCACACGACAGCTAATGTGAAGTAAACTAATGCGAATTAAAATTCTACTTCTACGGCCAGGCGTCAGTAAGGCTATTATGACGTCATTTGCAAATCACGTCACCTTATGCAGGAGCAGATGCATTTGACATAATGTTATAGTGTCTGAACACACATTTTAGTGATTAACACAATTTTCCTTAGTTTTTCACTCAAATATAGCACAAATGCTTCAAGCTGACCACGGACATGTGGCATTTGACCTAATTTTGCCATTACGCATGCCTAAAAATTTAATTCGAATTAGCTTCGCTTAGCGTTCACACGGAGCTAATGCGAAGTAATTTAATTAATTGATTCGAATTAAACTAATTCGCATTAAATTCTCCGTGTGAACGCTAAGTGAAGCTAATTCGCAGTAACTTTACGTTTAATTCGAATCAAACACTCTGTGTGAACAGGGCATTAATATATGGATTGTAAATTGTTCAAATCATGGTCCAGTTCAGTTTGTTGGAGCCATAATAGAGGGAGTTTAACACAGGACTTGGAAAAAAAAAACAAAAGAAAAAAACTTCAAACGAATTTAATCCTTAGGACCACATTAAACCGTTAATTTGGAAAGTTTCCCGAGTTCTGTAGATTCATAGATTCATTTTTTTCCTTTTCAAATTATGGATCCTTGATGTGTAAGAGATGGCTAAATTCAGGAACATATCTTACAAAATGTATGGATATAAGAAGCTAATTATGCGCCCGGATTGAAAGATCCGAGGCGTATATTGTTTTTGTCCTGTCTATCTGTCTGTCTGTCTGTTTGTCTGCAAACTTTAACCTTTGCCATAACTTTTGAACCATGAATGAAAGAGACTTCATATTTGGTATGCATATTCCACTTATAAAGTTCTTTCAAACGACACCAAGGTCAATGACCTTGTGACCTTGACTGTGACTTATACGCTAAAAATAGTTTTTTTTTCTGATTTTAACCTTTGCCGTAACTTTTGAACCATAAAAGATAGAGACTTCATATTTGGTATGCATACACCACTGATTAAGCTCTTTTAAATGACACCATGATCAATGACCTTGTGACCTTGACTGTGACCTATACGCTAAATATAGCTTTTTTGTCGGCAAACTTTAACCTTCGCCATAACTTTTGAACGAAGAAAGATAGAGACTTAATTTTGGCATGTATACTCCACTAATTAAGCCCTTTCACGTGACACCAAGGTCAATGACCTTGTGACCTTGACTGTGTCCTATATGCTGAAGATAGCTTTTTTGAATCTTCACCATAACTATTGAATCATGAGAGATAGAGATACCAGGTATCATATTTGGTATGCATACTTCACTAATCAAGTTTTTTCAAATGACACCAAGATCAATGATGTTCTGACCTTGACTGTGACCTACATGCTAAAAATATGTTTTTTAAACTTTGTTGCCACCGGGCGCATATAGTGTTTCACAAACACATCTTGTTTTCTTCTCAATTACTGCAAGGCTATGGTAGTCATATTGATCATATGGATGTTGAAGAATCTTTATTTTGTGTAGATTTACAAATAAAGAAACCTCCTCGAATCCTATTTTGTATTGATTTGGAGTCATCTTGGTGTTTAATTTAATATTATTAATAGTGTAAAATCACATATTTTTGTGGGATTAAATTTGTGTAGGGATTTGATTTCGAGGTTAGAGAAGTGTTGAGTAGTAATGCATATGATGTTTTACATTTTGAAGTGGTCATGAATCAGAGGGTGTCTTCAAACCTGGAAAACAATGAAAATTTAACCCCCACAGAAAATTAGTGATTTCACAGTATGGGATATTAAAATTTGTCCTGCAAATACAATCTGATTGCCTGCAACTATAAAAATCTCAAAAGAATCATAAGAAAAAGGCAGGGCTATAATTACACATGCGGGTGTCATGATCCATGGTCATCTTATTGAGAAAGAAAAATCAATATCATTTTAATTTGTCATATCTGGTATTACATGTAATACGTTACATGTGTGTGCAATTCTTTTGAAAAAAGGAACCTAAAATGTTTTTTTTTGAACTTTCAGGATTTTAACCAAGATGAGGATGAGATGTTGAGGCTAGCATTACAGGCCTCCCTAGAACCAGTATAAAGTTTATAGTCTTTATGGGGGAGAGTCAGCAAAACTCGCCATTTATCTGCTTATAAATAAAAGGGGGAAAATTTGTGATGTACTAACTGAAAAAGTAAACCTGAATAGAACCAGACACTATGCATCAGCTTATTTTGATAGGTATATGTACATGTATATCCGAAATAGGAATGTGGGCAAAACTGAAAAAAAAGTTCGTTTTTTTTTTACACTGCAATTGCTTTTCGACAAGGATGTAGAGGTTTTTGTACCCCAGTCTTTTTTTTATTTAATTTTAATTTTATTTCATTTTTTACACTTTAAAATAAAATCATGTCTTTGAGAATTCTTCAATTTTCATGTGCTTTCTTCTGTAAACCATCTCAATATTCAACCTGCTTATTGTGCCACAACAGAATCATAGAACAATGTGTAAAAATTCAGTTTATCAATGTAAGAGTTTATTATATATTTGTTAATACTTAAGGTTCATAAACCCTCTGCTCACTCATATAAAATGTTGCTTGAACCTTAATGATTTTCCAAAAGAAATGTATTTTATAAGCAAAATACTGACAATTAAATCATAGCTTGCGGGTCAAAATTGGACAAAAAAGACTCTTCAACTTGGCAAATTTATACAGGAATAATAGTCATTTATGTCATTAAGAGTTATCTCTCTTATCAGAATATCAATGACCCTTAATGTGGAAATAATTTAACCATTTCTTTTAGGTAGTTGTCAAAAACTTCAACATAAAAGTTCCCAGTTTTAACATTGTCTTTTGATTGTTAAACTTGCAAAGCAATTCACAATAATTTTATTATTAATTAAATATACATAAGTAAATTATTCATTAATAATTATTGCTTGTTGGATATCTTATGAATTGCTAACGTTTTCATTAAGTCTTTTATGATTTATATCTTATTTTCATGTGTCTTTCTGTATGTTCTCATTTTTAGCTCTACTGGTCAGAGACCAGAAGAGCTTATGCGATAGTAATGCGTCCGTCGTCCGTCCGTCTGTCTGTCTGTCTGTCTGTCTGTCCGTCTGTCTGTCCGTCTGTCTGTAAACAATTTTTCAAAACGCTACTCCTCCTACACTTTTGGTTTGATATCAGTATAACTTGGCACACAAGTAGACTACACTAAGATACATAGAATAGTGCATCGGTTTTTAATTTCGATGAACGGTGTTGCCATGGTTACTAAAAATAGAATTTTCTGTGAAATTCCTTTAAAACGCTACTCCTTCTACAGTTTTGGTCTGATTTCAATATAACTTGGCACACAAGTAGACTACACTAAGATACATAGAATAGTGCATCGGTTTTTGATTTCGATGAACGGTGTTGCCATGGTTACTAAAAATAGAATTTTCTGTGAAATTCCTTAAAAACGCTACTCCTTCTACAGTTTTGGTCTGATTTCAGTATAACTTGGCACATAAGTAGGCTACACTTAGATACATAGAATAGTGCATCGGTTTTTAATTTCGATGAACGATGTTGCCATGGTTACTAAAAATAGAATTTTCTGTGAAATTCTTTAAAAACGCTACTCCTCCTACAGTTTTGGTCTGATTTCAATATAACTTGGCACACAAGTAGACTACACTAAGATACATAGAATAGTGCATCGGTTTTTAATTTCGATGAACGATGTTGCCATGGTTACTAAAAATAGAATTTTCTGTGAAATTCTTTAAAAATGCTACTCCTTCTACAGTTTTGGTCTGATTTCAATATAACTTGGCACACAAGTAGACTACACTTAGATACATAGAATAGTGCATCGGTTTTTAATTTCGATGAACGGTGTTGCCATGGTTACTAAAAATAGAATTTTCTGTGAAATTCCTTTAAAACGCTACTCCTTCTACAGTTTTGGTCTGATTTCAATATAACTTGGCACACAAGTAGAATATACTAAGATACATAGAATAGTGCATCGGTTTTTAATTTCGATGAACGGTGTTGCCATGGTTACTAAAAATAGAATTTTCTGTGAAATTCCTTAAAAACGCTACTCCTTCTACAGTTTTGGTCTGATTTCAATATAACTTGGCACACAAGTAGACTACACTAAGATACATAGAACAGTGCATCGGTTTTTAATTTCGATGAACGGTGTTGCCATGGTTACTAAAAATAGAATTTTCTGTGAAATTCTTTAAAAACGCTACTCCTTCTACAGTTTTGGTCTGATTTCAATATAACTTGGCACACAAGTAGACTACACTAAGATACATAGAATAGTGCATCGGTTTCTGATTTCGATGAACGGTGTTACCATGGTTACTAAAAATAGAATTTTCTGTGAAATTCCTTAAAAACGCTACTCCTTCTACAGTTCTAGTTTGATTTCAAAATAAGTTGGCACACAAGTAGACTACACAAAGATACATAAAATAGTGCAATGGTTTTTGATAAGTACATACCAGTAGAGCTACAGTCTCGACAGAGACTTCTGGTTTTCCCATATTTTTTTTTGATGGTCTAATAATGTTCAAATCATGTTTTAAATTAAATTTGTTATGCCAATGGGCAGAAAAGTGTGATTCTGTATGTTGTCTACGTATAATGGTATGGGGTCATTTATAAGAAAGACTGGTCAAAGAAAGATACATTTTGAAAAAAAAAAAATTCTGTTACAAACTTGGTAGAGAAAAAAAATTATCAGCATGCTGCAGTAGATCTCATCAAATGAAATATGGAGATGATGAACATTTTTCAAGCTTAGAGTCCATTTAAACTATAAAAACCAGGAACAGCAACATGGACCATAAACATCAGAGGTAGGATCAAATGGGGTGCAGTGGAAAGTGAGCATCTCCTCCTAACCTGTCACTCACACTGTGTGATCATTGTCATAATCCGATCAGTGTGTAAATAATTCCCTAACAATTAGTCTGAAAAACGCCAGTCAGTGATAGATTGTATGTGCTGACAAGGTCATTATATCAATCAGAATACTTGCAAAATGATGACTTTAAACAAGACTGTTGATATATTTGTTTCATCAACTCGTTTGTCAATAGCTAGCTTCGATTTGGAAAATGTTTATTTGTAGAACATGCTCTTGCATAAAGAATCAACTGAGAGACATAAACCCCAGGTGATAAGGGTATGTTGCTACCAAAGGCACCTGTTTCGAAAATGATATCATGGTATAATAATAACCCTATGGGTTAAAAATTTATTTCCCAATTAAATGCCTATGGTTGCTACATAAGTTAGGGACTTTGATGATGTTTATCATAAAGCATTGTTCTAAAATTACCATTAGTATCTGCTAAAATTCCAAGACATTAAAAATGGGAATAAAGTAATCGAGTACTAAGTATTTTCTTATTACCTTTATGTATGTAAATGATATATTAGTAAAAAGTCTATTGAAGTTACTTTGAAAATAAAAAATGGAATCCAATGCTAGTATATGACTCGATTTTATTGTCAATTTGTCACTGCTGACAGATTTTGCTTACAGGTGATTGTTCAGTACACATGCGAGAATAAACATTAAAAAATAACACAACAAGAGTTCAACATAATTAATCTAAAATAATGACGATCAGCTCAACGAATGCTGTCTACTCGGAAATAGGTGACAAAATCTCACACCAAATGTGTGCATCCCATGATGCATCCGTCCAAATTTGTTCAGCCAAGTACGTATACACTCTAGTTCAGACTTCTAGACCATTTCAAAATAATCTTTACATTTCAAAACAACATCTTTGAAACACAGGCACCTGATTTACTTATTTTTCTTTTAATGATAAAAAATATACCCCTTCCTAATAAATAAATAATTATTATTAGGTAGGGATATATTTTTTTATTAAAAGAAAAATAAGTAACGTCAGGTGCCTGTGCTTTGAAACTGCTGGCATCTTAATTTCGGTACATTTTATTGAGAGAATGGAAATTCTAAACCCTTTTTCACACCTATCAGGCACGTAGCAACGGAGGGGGGGGGGGGGCACTTTTTTCCCAACATTACTTATTCTATAGGAAATGTTCATTGAAAGGTTGGTTGCCCCCCCCCCAACTTTTTGCGATATGAGGATTGAGGAAAATGTAGTATAAAAACATAGGTAATCAGAGATTACAGAGCTCACCTCAACGAATATGTTGTTTTTAAGTAAGGCAAAGTCACACAATTACCCAACAAAAAGTGTACATCCAAAACTGCAAAATTTAAGCAATTTTGATTTGATACTTTGGAATAGACCTATATAGAAACTTCAACCTAGTTCTTCATCATGAAAACGTAATTAAAATCCAGCATCTGAGGCAAGTTTGATAGTTTTCATCCCTTGATGCATCATTTGTGCAAGTTTGGTTTATATAAGCCTTATAGTTCCTTGGTAATAGACCTGCACCCATAACTTTTACTAGGTCCATTATCTGGAAAATGTATGTCGAATTCAGCATCTGAAGCAAGTCCATTAGTGTGCATCCTAAGATGTATCATCCAGGCAAGTTTGCTCAACATAGCGCTCAAAGTTACTTGGAAATGAATCCTGCACCAAAAACTTTAACCTGTTCACTCTTCCAGAAAATGTATGTCAGATTCAGCATCCGAAGCAAGTCTGGTAGTATGCATCCTAAGATGTATCATCCATGCAAGTTTAGTCATTATAGGGCTCAAAGTACCTTGGAAATGAAACCTGTACCAAAACCCTTAACCTGTTCACTCAACCGGAAAATGTAGGTCAGATTCAGCATCCGAAGCAAGTCTGGTAGTATACTTCCTAAGATGTACCATCCATGCAAGTTTGGTCATTATATGGCTCATAGTATCTTTGATATGACACCTGCACCAAAAACTTTAACCTGTTCACTCATCCAGAAAATGTACGTCAGATTCTTCATCCAAAGCAAGTCTGGTAGTATGCATCTTTAGATGTATCATCCGTGCAAGTTTGGTCACTGTAGTGCTCATAGTTACTTGGAAATGAGACCTGCACCGAAAACATAAACCTGTTCATTCATGCGGAAAATGTAGGTCAGATTCAGCATCCGAAGCAAGCCTGGTTGTGTGCATCCTTAGATGTACCATCCATGCAAGTTTGGTCAACATAGGGCTTATAGTTGCTTGGAAATGAGACCTACACCAAAAACTGCACCAAAAATGTTAACCTGCTCCAAAAACATTAACCTTGTCATTCCTTTGCTGAAATTGCAGCATCTGAAACTTTGACTGGTACAATGAAACACACTAGCATGTCTAATCAATATAGGACATAGAAGTACTTAAAAAGAAAACTGCTCCAAAAACCTTAACCCGGGACGCCGACGCCGACATCGACGCCGAGGGTATTACATAAGCTCCCCTAACTTCGTTGAGGTGACCTAAAAATGGTACTGAAAGAAGATGGCATTGAAAAAAGTTCCCACGAAATGGGATTTTCGACTTTGAGCATCTTTTCTTTTCTTTTTTGCTTGTCAACATTTTAAGGTAAGTAAAAAAAATTCTCTGGCTGCCCCCCTTTAAAAACGATGCTACGTGGCTGCCTATAGTATAGGACATGAACAACATTCCAAAAATATGATTATGCCACCCGTTAACCAGAAGTCTCTGTCGAGACTGTAGCTCTACTGGTTTGTACTTATAACAAAGGATGAGAAAAGAAGCCATTGCCATCAGACCACAACTGTAGAAGGAGTAGCTTTTTAAAGGAATTTCATACATTTCTATTTTTAGTAACAATGACAACACTGTTCATCAAAATCAAAATCCGATGCACTATTTTATATATCTTAGTGTAGTCTACTTGTGTGCCAAGTTATATTGAAATCGGACCAAAACTGTAAGAGGAGTTGCATTTTAAAGGAATTTCACAGAAAATTCATTTTATTAGTAACCATGGCAACA